TGATCTCCTGCTTCCTCACCCTCAGCCCCACTGGTGCCCTCCTGGCTTTTGCCCCCTCAGCCATGCCAAAGCGAGCCAGCTGTCCCGGCCCAGGGGTGGGATGTGTGCTGATGTCAGTGGGCCCTCATGTGTGAGCATGTCCGGCTCAGTCTCCCCACAGGGACCCCCCCTGGCCCTGGTTGCCTCCTGGGGTGCCCGCTGCACTGCCCACTGGGCCTCCCAGTGCCCCAGGCTACGAGCCGTGGGGCGGCCTCAAGCCTCAAACTCTTCCATCCTGACTGCTGACCAGCCCTGGCCAACCACCAAGCCAGCCTTTGCAGCAGGAAGGCCAGGGACCTCGGTGACCACCACACAGACCCGCACGTCAACGCGTGAAAGCTGCAGGTGCACACGCACTGACGAGCCCGCGCCCAGGCCCTGCTCTCTGCTGCCCCCTCCGCCTTCACTCCCCTCCTCCTCTCCCTCGGCCGCCACCGGGAGGGAGGTTCGGAGGGTTCCCAGGAGTCCCGGCTCCCTCCGGCCACTTCCGGCCAAGGAGCATCCCGGTGACTCCCTGGGTCCAGAGCTCACAGAGGGCGTGAGGCCACTTGGAGGCACGCAGCCATGTGACCGAGCAGCCTGGGGACCTGGCCAGCACTGGCTGATTCCAGCCTGGCACACAGTAGGTGCTCAAAGGAGTTAGGAGCCGCCAGGGACCCAGGGAGGCTCATGCGCAGGGCAGAGCACACAATAGGTGCTTACTCCACTCAGGATGGCCACCAGGCCCCCAGCAGGTGTCCTAAAAATGCTGGTTTAAGCGCTAAAGCCAAATCATATGAAAAACTTCCCAAATGAGCCTCGGGACCTCCCCAAACTGGTATGACCCCCCCAGGGGGGACCTGGACCAGCGTGACCCCTAGGAGGCCAGCGAAGGGCCCAGCAGGAGGGCCTGAGCAGCTCCAGCTGGCGGTCCCTCCCCCGGGGCTGCAGGAAGCGCTATTTATAGTTCCCCCTGGGCCCGCTCCCTCTCCCGGGGAGGCTACCATGTTCCCCCTCTTCCTGACCACAGACAGGCTGGTGGCCCTCAGAGCACCCCTGTACCTGCTGAGACCCCCACAGCCTTGCACTCCTGCCAGCACCACCCCGGCCGCACCCCGATCATTCCTCACCCCACCTCCCCCCGCCCTCTCCAGGCCACCTGTGCCTACCCCTCCTGCTGCTCCTTTCCCCGGCGTCCATCAGCCGGCTGCCTCCTTCCCAGCCTCTGTCCATCCTGCAGCCCAACTGGCCCGGGTTCCACCCCCAGCAGCGTGGAGTCCACAACCCGCCCTCTG